AAACCATAATTTTGGGTCAAATCGTCGCATTTTCAAACCCCCATTTAGACCCATTTTTTCTTTTAAATCACAATTCATTTTCCAATCATAAATTAAATCAAAATACATCTTTCTCAAACCATTTATTTATTTATCAAAAAATGGGGCGCGACAATCACCAATAGCTTGGTTATAGTTGTTATTGTTCGATGAGAATTGGTAATAACAATGGAAACACATGAGTAGAACTTGAGTTGTATGTTCATGAAAATAGAGATACATTTAGGTGGATTATTTAGCATTTCATGAAAGAAAACAGAGTAGTAGTAGTATTTCACCATGAAAATAGGGAAATCTATATTGCTTTAGGCCATTTCATCATGAAAATGAGATTTGGAAACTTTGGAAATGAATCTCTAATTAAACAAGAATAATAGCAAGAAGTAAATCCATTCATTTGTGTTGTTTATGCCATAAGTGGAATCTACATCCCTAGAATCTTCCTTAAGTGAAATTTCTCTATTTGCATTCAGCATTTGTTAAACTAGATTTGTATATCAGATTTGTAGATTACAGCCTTAGACTTTCTCTGCTCAAATTAATTGTAAGTCTAAATAATAGAGAAAATAAGGGCTTAGTAATTGTTTAAATTGCTTCTCGTGGGATCGACCCGATACACATCTTGTACTACAATTGCGACCTGTATACTTGCAGTCCAACGGGTGTAAAATCGGAATTGAACTTGCATTGATATAAAAATCCCGTCATAGAGCCTCCGTTTTCACTTTTTGCTCAAAAGTAGAGACTCGTGCTGATAACGTGTTGTAAAACTAATAAACTACTATAGTATGAATGGAGATATTAGAGAAAGAAATAGAGAATGATATTCTGATATTCCAAAAGATACAAAAGTCCTTCCAAAAGGTGTTAATGTACCTCTATATATAGGTATCACAAGATTAAAGGTACATCAATCCTATTAAACACCTATTACTACAAGAATATGAAGAAACTTATAAAACGGTTCCTCCACTACATGAATAGATTTATGAATTGTAACTTCTATACATAATGTAACAATAAATCAAGAATTAATCCTCTTAAAAATACAAAGGGGCATCCACACTTTTAGTTGTTTCATAACATTAATCATTTTAGGCCCTGGTCATAATTCCAGAGTTTACACCATGTAGTGCATATCGACATTATGCATAAAAAAATATTAAGGCGTTAAATGTAATTTAACGTTTGTTAGTTTTTTTTTCAAATTAAATCAACTAGAAAATATTTGAAAAACCAACATGTTGAGTAATTTAACGCTAATTGAAATGAATCATTTGATTTTTGTAATGTCCTTTACTTCACCCAGTATTCTTCTCATGGTCAACCATTCCAATGATTTTTTTCTTCCTTTTTAGAGATTGAATAGAAGAAAAATTGGATTTGTTCACTTGCTTGGTAACTGGTGAGCTTATCAAGTTTGAAATAGAGCCTTTTTTTAAATTCGTCTTCCTTCATTTGAATCTTGTAACTTTTACATTAGCGAAGTTAATGATGAATAAAGTTAAACTCCGTCAAATTAAATTGAGTTATTATTATTATTGTTATTAGGTATTGCGGAGTTGTGACATTGCAATGGTTCGTTAACCCGAAAATTAGCCTATGCACAATTAACTACTTTTAGTCGGTAACGTTCTTCACAAATTAATGCAAACTCCTCATATGCTTTCTTGGAGATAGGGCCACCTCAAATTATCTAACTTGTCGTAAACATCAAGTAAAAACTTTCCTTGTTTTTTTATTTTCATAGACCTTTTTTATTTTCATAGACCTTACAAAGGGTTTCTATGCTGACTGCTGAGATCATCCTTCCTACGTCCCGTTGCACACCTGCAGGCAAACCCACCGGCCACCGGGGCATGGAACGGGGCAGCCACAAGTTGTGTTGCACGCAACACTGCTGCTCATGGTTTCTCGCAAATTGCCTAGTTAATTGAGCAGCAAAAGTAAACGCGTCCAGTGCACGTTTCAATATCGGTATTGAACCCAAATGTTACCAGTGAGTGGCGTCAAATTATTCTCATTTGCTACTACGTTCATATTGGTAAGTGCTTAATGACATGAGGAAAAAAAAAAGTGCTTAATGACATGAGAAGTTTCGCAAAGAAATAGATTGAAATGTTTTTTTTCCAGCAAACTCTTATCGATCTGAAATGTTGTAACATGACAAGCTACCTGATGGCAGGCTGGATTTATTATTTGATCGTCACTTCCCACGTTCACAGTAAACTTCGATTATGATAGATATCAACCTTAAAATTTTATCTACCTCATGCTCTGAGTTGATATTATTGTGTCAAGGCTTTCATACTAGTGCTGCATCCACTTTAGCAAGAGTTGGGACTTTGGACGTGCTTTTTGCAATCTAGAGTTTTTCCCTTTCATTTTTATGAATATTAAACTGATCGTTGGCTTGGCCAATCTTAATTACTACTTTGTAGTTACATACAGATAGTTCCACTCAATTTTCATGAGCAACCGGATGGATGCAGAAATTGCGCGTAGAGATGTCTGGTCTGGTACCAAATTTCCGATACATTACAACCCATTTTTTTACCCCGTGTTTTAGTAGTAGTACTACTGTGTTAATGCTTTGGTACTTTTTGCTCTGTTAATTACTTTTTTCCCAAGATGCTAGCGTTCTTACTGCTATAGCTATTTAGGCTGTTTCCTTGTGGACAAAATGAAATAGAAATGCTTCAGGAAAAGAGACCGGATTCAACTTATTATCAATACTGTGACTTCCTAAGTTCTATGGGCGTGGAAGGATAGGACTCAGGAATCTGAAACATATTCAATTATGTAGTCCACAATCGAAACTATACAAGTGAAAGGATTAATATCCCTTGATCGCCACAAAGCATGTGCAACACGACGCACCACAATTTTCTTGAGCGATTTAGGCACTATCAAACCCAACGCTATAGAGCTATGCATCTCAGCTGACGGCCAAAGCTCTCGTTCAAAACATGTCACAAAAATGTTAAAAACGAGCAAGCAAACAAAATCAAGATTAGTATGTTGATTAATTGTTTAAATTAACTTGAATATAAGTTCATTTCATAACAGTAAACAATGAGTTCTTGACAGTAGTGGTTAATTACCCGGCCAGTTCCACAACTTTATTGCCCCCACACATTTTTTTTTCTCAAATTCTTCATTTTGTCATGATATTAACTACTTTTTATTATTATTTTTATTACTATTTATTAGTTTTATCTTATCATTTTATTTTCTTTTAATTTGTTTACTTGCTCATTTTCAGCATTACCAATTTATGACCAGTTTTAACATGTTTTCCTACCTTTCCAAAATGAAATTTTAAATTTACGCACGAAAAAAATACTAGGAGTTCAAAATTTTTGGATTAAATTTTTATATTAACTTTTATAGTACTTAGTTCAAATTTTTATATTCTTATTGTTCAATTATTAAATAGTATGTAATTTTACGACATAGAGTATAGATAGAAAAAAAATTAGTAATTAGATTTATTGAACATTATAAGTAAATATTTAAAACTAGTGATGGGTGCAAAGGGTTGTATAAATTCATAACTTAGTTTGCAAAAATGAATTTAAATGAGTTTACAAAAAAGTTAAAATAAATGAGTTATAAATAAGTAATTGAATTACCCAATTCATTTTTTAATTTACACATTTATACCCATTAAGTTAACATCCTTTCTACTTTTTAACTCTAATTCCACGTAAACATTTCTCTTCCAAAATAAATTCTGGTATAAATTTCTCTAGTGCAAAACAAAACAAAAATGAAGCCAAATATTCTGCACTATAACTTCGATAAATGAACCCAAGTTCTGAATTTTTTGCATTCTAACTTCAACAATTAAATAACAGCAACTACTCCTCAAATAGCTCAACTTTGTCAAGGTATGAAGTAAGTGAAGATGCAAGATGCAAGTATGGGATAAAAAGAATACCATTATGCACCACATGATCCTATAAGAGAGTTCATAGGATGCTGCAATTATAACCCTTTTTTTTTTGTATGTAAGTTGCAATTATAACATAAGATCAACCTTGCACAAAATATAATAGCTTTGGTCTTACGTTTGGTAACGAATATAATTTCACTTCAGCAATAACAACTTCATTTTTTTTTCTTTTGCCTCTTCTAGTTCATGTGCGTGCCATGGCTTTCCCCCTTGCTCCCAACACAAGGGTATAGTTGTCCCTTCACCAACAAATCATGGCTATTCAAGTCTTTTCAACCTTTTTTTTCCCCATCTTGTGTGACAGTGTTAAGCCTTATAACGTTGGTCAAGCAGTGGGGGATAAAGTGTATACTACGGAAGTTGGGTGTGATAGAATGTAACTGCCCTACCTTCTTGGGGCAGAGAGCGATTAACCCTCTCTTTTTGGCCCGAATTGCCAAACGAGGATAGTCCATATGAGTCTAGTTGGCTGGCTCCATAGTCACTGCAAAAGTCTGTAGTTCATTCACTACTCGCAAGACTTCGAAATTCACGTGGAGCTAGAGCATCAACATTCAACACATGGTGGCATTTGGATCTCTATCACATGCTAATTGAAATAGAATGCAGATCTGGTCAGTGATTATCTGTGATAATCCTCATGAAATTATTAAGATGCGTGTGCAAGACTGCCAGGTTGATGAAACTTCTGACCTCAAGTGACTGGGACAGCCAAATTCTGTTTGCAAATATTGGAAATAGAGCACACATGATCATACGTGTATAAACAACTACACAACCCAACAAGAAAGCGATCATGAACACAGAGTATATACATGGCATTATGAAATGTTAACCTACAATACAACCCCCACAGTTTTGAACAACATTGTAACGACTTGTGTAACACATGTACCTGGGGATGCCCATTTACTTCCAATTCTGAATACATGATTATCAGAGCGATAACATCTTGAAGCTCAGGGACTTGTTAAACCACGCCTTAACCCAACTGCCTCTTCTCTTACGAGAAATCATCTCCGACCTTGCTTGCTGCTGTCATCTGTGGCTGCCTCTGCTTCTTGCAGAGGACAAAGTTCCTCACTCCCGGCAATCCTATTGACTCTGATAGGTTAAGAGCTGCAACAATTGGCACGTGAATTAATCTTACTTCAAAGGTTGAGGACTAAGTTCAATGCCAATTTGCTACAGCTTGATAAAAATAAAATAAAAATAAAAATAATTGGAGATACTAGAACGAGTATGCCAAAATTTAGCAGTAATACAAATAAGGACCAAGGGCCAAAACAAGAATTTGAACATAAAATCTTGAAAACTGGATTGACAAGATCCCTACTGTCCAATCCTGCATTGGCTGGATAGAGAAGGAAACTGTTTACATCAGAACCAAAAACAGGAAAGCGCTCCTGGTGGGCATAAAGTTTTTGAGCTGCATCCATCCCTTCTGAGACAGTGTCATCCTCGTTCACCACAAACCTTATGGGTCCAGTGCTACCAAGGATGTTTATAGTAATCAAGAACTTATTGTTGCTATTATTCTTTCCATTCTTATTCTCGTCATTCCTTTTCTTGGCCTTTGGCAGCAACCCACGAGTGTGTGTTTAGAAACCACAGAATTCATTGAAAAAAAAAAAGAATCAGATTCGAAGAATTTAATAATTGGTCACCGGGAAGACCTTGTTCACAAGGTATAAATGAGGAGTTGAATCGAAGTAACAGATGTTCCCTCTGTCGTAAACCAGTCCTTGCTTGAGGTGAAATGTACCGGCTGCAGGTGACAAGCTACACTGACTTCGCAAGATGGAACTACAAAAATTTCATAATGCAATTTTCTTAAGAATTTATAGATAATTTGTGTAGGGAAAAAAACAGCAAAATTTCCATGAGGAAACAAAAAAGGACACCACAAGTTTCCAAGGAATACAAGTGGAAGGAACTACGTATGAGCAATAACTAAGCAAGTCCTTACACATACGTAACCAAATACTCCCTGGAGCTTGATGGGGTGCTGGTTCGGAAGACGATGACAGTGAACTCTAGGTTTCACCAAAAGCGAACATCAAACAGCCAATCAATGAAACCTAAATGCGCCAATCAACCCTTGAGTTCACGAGTTTAAAGAGTATAATTAACCATATCTGTTCCACATATAATGGTTGTAGTCTTAACAAAGACAAGAACTGTAGGGTCCCTAGAATCGGCTGCTCTACTTTTTCCCAATGTCTTTACAAGATTATTAACTAGAATTCTATAATGCAAAATGTTCTTCCCCATGTAAAATTAGTTCCTAGCTTGACAGCATCTTGAGTTGACCAACATAATTACACTTGTTTGTTTGGACGCCAAAAGCCAAAAGCCTCTACCTTAAGTTCAGTTAGTTACCCAGGGGTGTTCAGTTAATCTACCTAGAGCAGCTGAAAACATAGGGCATGGAAATATAGGGCAGAAATGGAGAAGCCAATAAAAAAGTGAAGGAAAATACAGTAATCTCAAGCAGAGAAGGAAAGTGGCAATATAGGATTGGACGGTCATTGACCAGAATATTGATATTTATACTACGAGTTAAAAAAATAGTGTCAGCTTTATTACTACTCCCAAGATAGGGTAATCTGAGTTCTAGAAAACAACTTTAGGCAGTAAAGAAAATGTGAGGCAGGAAAGAAATAGGCCATTAAATTAGATAAAAGCATAAGAGCATGCTAAAATTTGACAAACCAGGAATATCAGAACGTGCATAGAACACTTGGTTAAAAATCTAATTTAAATAATGTTGTCAACAAGCTGAAATCTATAGAAGTACAATTCTTTACTTACCTTTCCACTTTGCTTTTAAAAAAGAAAAGCTTGAGGGAATATATGATGGAACTCTAAAGTTTTAACCAATATAAATATGTTGAACTAAGAAATAAATGCTAGCAAATCCTGTCAAGTGAAAAAAGGTTAAACTATTACATAAGTGACATACTAAAGCCATCAGACTATTAACACTTTCTTCATGTCAGATTTGAATCAAAAGCATACACTTATTATGTTTTAACTGGCCAAAAGCAATGAACTAAAAACCATACTAGTAGATTCCCTTTAACTGCAGGATCCCAAGATGCAGCACGAATCTTTTCAAGGAGCTCTAGTGCCTTATCAACAGTCGCCATCTTGGTAGCCATGCTTACCTAAGAAGAACGACAACTACATTAGTACATATAAAGTTGACTGATCAATTTGGAAGTAAACAATTAATGGTTGTACCTCTCCATGGTTATTATAGCCAAGAAGCTTAGCCTGTTCCAACCTAAGTTGTAGAATCTGATCAATTATCGTTGTGTTAGCCAGATCTCCACTAGAAGCACGTGTCACATAAGCACGGTAAACTTCCTCCCTCAAGGTTCGATTTCTAGCATGTTGCATCACAGACATAAAACTCGGCGCATCCAATGTGATTATTCATGGTCCAGCAGTAGCATTTTCATACCCCTGTAAGGCTTATAGGATGATGAGTAATGCTATACCAAGCAACACATGAACCAAAATGATGATGTCATAAGTAATGCCCCTTTCTAAACAGTTTACCTTAGTAACTGCAGTCTGGGCAGCCAATCCAAGTGCTGTAGCAGGTAATCCTTTAATATCTTTCTTGTCTGTAATTACCTTTTCATACTTTTTGTGGCATCCAGAACATTTTCCTCAAACTTTCGCAATAGTCTTGCCAGCTCCTGCAGACAAATTGAAAGCAAACGAAAGTATTACTTATCTAGAAGGTAAAACTGAACATCATAAGTAAATTGAAAGATATATCTGGGCTACACATCATCATCATATTATGAGAGAAATTTAGTGTTCCTCGACAGAAAAAGAAATATAAGCATCATGCTAGAATTGCTCAAAAATAATCAACAGAAAGAACTCTCTAAGACAACATCCAGGAAAATAACAATGCAATTTATTTGGCAACCTATGTTATAAAAATTGAGCCATCCACCCATGATCAAGGAAAAATAGAAAAACATATAGTTACTCAAGATGTCACATTTATATCAAATTCTTGGCACCAATAATGAGCAGACAATCAAATTTAGGTAAAGATACAGATAAAACAGATCAGATAACCACCAAAGGAATCTGAATAATCTGATTATGACGAAATATAGAATTTGACAAAGCAGCATATACCTGCTCAATTTTGTTAAATTGCTCTCTTTTATCATCTTCAAGAGCAATGCCACTCAATATGGCCTCCTTAATTGATGCTGCATAAGTAAGAGAGGTCCCGAGAATTTTTAAGCTCAGGCATACCAAATTTTAGTATGGCACTATTAAGTAACAAAAAGATAGGAAAATACCCTAGTACAGTTGTTGTAACTCCTCGTCAGTAAACATGCACATGTAATACTTAATCATATAAACCAAATTCCTTTCCTTTGGGGGATTAAGTCTAAATAAGACGTGTAGGACCTCATTTTTGTAACTTTATTAATCCAACGACTTGCAAGGTAGAAGACTGAGCATTAAACATGCCTGAAGGCAACATTTTATGCATAGAAAACTCTGATGACAACTTTCTGCAATAACTTGCAAAGTAGATAATGAGGAGACTAAAGAGCAATCTTGGTGGTCTTTTACCCTTCTATCAAGTGAAAAACTTGGCAAGAAAATGAACAAATTAACATATAGAATGATACTAAGAATATAAAGAGCAACAGATTCAGATAGTTTCATTCCCTATATTCATTCTGGATTACAAGCTAAAACTAATAAATTCAGCGGAATTTTCAGAAATACCTCATACCACAGAATGACTCAAGGCAAAAAGAAAATCACATACTTAAAAGGTTAGACATAAAAAACCAAAGAAAAGGACATGAGGATCAAGTAAACACTCATAATGAGAAATTATATGTGACACTAACTACAGCTAATACAACAAAGTATGTACCTGCCAAATCAAACAGGGCAGAGTTCAAAGACATACTTTCAACTATCCGTTTACGAGCATCACTCAGCGAATCCCAATCAGGAGATTCCCGTATAGCTTTATAAGCATTATAAATTGGCTTACTTTGACTCAGTTTGAGGTCAAACGCAACTTTCTCTGGCTGCAGATCAGGATTCAAAAGACCATATGAGCACCAAAAGCAATACAGTGATATAACTTTTCCCTATCAATTAAGAAAAAAAAAGGAAAAAATCTATAGCGCGATTAATAACCAAATATATATATATATATATAGACCTGCACTTCTTCAATGGCAGCGCGAAGCTCAGAGCTGTCCTTAACGGACTTGAGGTGGTTGATTGCTCCCCAAACCACACTGATCCGATCAATTATCTTCTTTAACGGCTCCACCAATTTGGGCAACGTCGGCTCCACCGTCTTCTCCAATTCCTCCAATTCTCCCTCCTGCATTTACATGCATTGAATCATCTCGTTTGTTAAATCAAAATAAATGAATAAATATGATGTTAATTTCTTCAAATTTTGAAAGCACGAACGAGTTGCTTCAACAAAGCGCGGATGCCAGGGCGGACGTGCACGGTCTCAATCGAATCAAACGGCGGGAAATTGAAGTCCGTTAGAAGAGGATTCTTGTCGCCGAGGAAGGACAATCTGGAAGGAGGTTGGGAGATGTCATGGAGTGCAAAGGATTCGCAGGAAGTTCTTCTAGTCCAGCTTGAAGAAAGGTGAAAGCGTGGTCTATGGCACGAGGAAGGCGTGATTGATCAAACCCAAGAAAAGAAGAGGCGTGATTTAGGAAACACGCTTTCACTGGCTCAAAACAGAATTATGCTTCTGTTATGAACAAGTGGGGCGGATTATTCTAGAATCCACTTGTCCTCAGCTCATTGGCTAGTTTAGAAGTTAGTTAGCCGGGAAAAAACCATAAAAGCAGAGGAAATCTTAGTGATAGGGAAGCTTTTTGTCATCTTTCAATTGCTTGTAAAGAAAAGATTGGCTCTGCCAATCTCCCTCTCCTCCTCTCACGTTTATTCCTTCATTTTCTTTCCCCTTCTATCTCTGAATCCATTATTTCTGCTCTGTATTCATTCACCAAATTCATATTAAGAAATTGAATTACCAAATCATTTCATTTTCCAATTCCATTCTGTTAAGCACTAATTCACTGATTTCTGCAATAAATCTATCACTATTGCCTTAAACTGGTTCTGTGCCATTACAGTGGTATCAGAGCTCAGCTACGAGCCATTGGGATGACTAAGTCACAGGATGAAGCATTGAAGAAGGATCTGTCTGAGCTAGGAAGTGTGGTCAAGGTACTAGAACACAGGCAAGAAGGTACAGAAAGGACCCTTAAGAATCTGGATCAAAAGTATGAGAGTATGATGTCTATGATGGCTTAGATGATGGCCAGGTTGAATGGCAAGGACAAGGATGCAGAAAGTAGCAGTTTGATAGTAGGTCCCAGGAAAGGAGAAACACAAGGGGAAGGACATGGCAGATCAGATTGGAAGGAGAGCAGATCTTATACCAGAGTGCCTAAAATGGAGTTGCCTAACTTCACAGGAGATAATCCAAGGGAATGGATCCGTAAGGCTAACAAGTATTTCAAGATCAATGGAGTGGAGGAAAACATGAAGTCTGAGATTGCTGAGCTGTACCTGAGAGACAGGGCTGATACCTGGTTCCATGGAGTATTCAGTGGCAGGGAAGTCATTCCATGGACTGAACTTGCCACTGCATTGTGTGAAAGATTTGGTGAAGGCACGCCAGAGGAGGCCATTGAAGAATTCAACAAACTAAGGCAGGAAGGATCTGTTGACTACCTGGAAAAGTTTGAGTTGCTCAAAGCACTGGTAATGCCTTCCCTCCCTCATTTGGCTGACTCTTATTACAAAGCATGCTTCTTAAGTGGCTTGAAGGAGGAGATAGTTAATATGGTCAAAATGGCCAAGCCCCTAGCTCTGGCTGATGCAATAGAAGCAGCTAAGTTACAGGAAAAGAACTTAAGAGCCATGCAAAAAATACACAAGGGCCTACCCAGCACCACCCCTACACACAAAACCCCATTCCACACCCCAAGCCATAACCAGGGGAGCTCTGCTACTCCCAGAACCTCAGACAAACACCCCATCAAAAACCATAAATATCCAAACAGCAACCAAAACCAATTCAGGATGATCACCCCTAGTGAGTTCAACCTCAGAAGGGAGAAGGGATTGTGCTATAAGTGTGCTGCACCCTACACACTTGGCCATGTATGTAAGCAGTCTCACATTCACCTTTTGCTAGTCAATGATGAAAGTGAGTACTCTGCATCTAT